TTTCCTAAATTTAAAGATAGAGAATAGAATAAGGGAACTGTTTGTAATGCTCTTAGCAGAGCGCCGTAAACCCGCAACCATACCGCTAGCTAACTGACCTTGTCTTAGGAAAATATGCATATAGTAAATAACTCTACCGGTTTATCTGTCGGACCAGACAAACCGGTGGTCGGACCACTGACCCGGTGAGTAGGGGCTCTAGCAGTTCACTGACCGGCTTTGTTCTTTTTACTATGATTTGGCACCAAAACAAAACGTTGGTGACGATTGACAGTTGGATTTCTCTCTCTTTCTCTCTCTGATCTGGAAGCATGGATTTAAACTATATATATTGCTGGTCAAGGTGAAGAAATGAAGATCATTGTCTCGTTTCCTTGGCCTAATGTGAAGCTTAGCTGCATAGCTCTCAATGCTGTGATAGTACGTAGGAATACAAAACGGAAAGCAGCCACGGTTGTATCGATCACCCTAGCTATGCCCCTCAAACCTAACAAGCATGCTGCATTGGTGATTTGGTGCCTATGTTAGCTCGAGGAGAAAATTGCCGTCGTCTTCTTTGCAGGCTATTGCAAATTCGATGCCTCTCCCGATCAATATCCACGGACCCTTTGGGTACATACCATTGCAAGCCCATTCCACCTGGATACGCGAGGGTCGAGATAGAGCTGGTGGAACGAACCTACGAGGATCTCGAGCTGGACATCCCCGGAGGAGACGGGGAGACGAGACTTGGAGACACAGCCCATGCCATTTTACTCTGGCTGAAGAGGTACATCATGTTTCCCGGGCAAGATGGGGTGTCCACACCTCCATCCCCGCCGCAAGCGCCGTCTCCTCCGCCTCCTCCATCTCCTCCGGCTCCTTTGCCTGCATCGGCTCCTCTGGCTCCTTCGCCTGCACCGGCTCCTCCGCCTCCACCACCTCCTCCGCCTGCACCTGCTGCCAAGTCTGCACCGTCTGGTCCATGGCAAACGACTCCTCAGCCTGCACCAGCTGCCAAGTCTGCACCGACTCCTCAGCCTGCACCGGCTGCCAAGTCAAGGTCCCGCCAATATGAACCTGCGCCGTCAAGGCCTATGAAGAAGGCCAAATCTGACGAGCCAAGGCTCCCAGCTCTCAAGAAAAGGTCGTACGACAAGACTCCGGAGGAGCTCGATGAAGCCGTTAGAGTGGAAGTTAGGGCACAATTGAATCCACGTAGTCCGGAAAAGAAGATTCCTATAGACCCGGAGGCTCAGGAGCACTTTATTAAAATGATGGAACCGGGCAAACCAATCGTAGTTTCTGACTATGATTGAACATTGAAGAAGGCTCTTATAGCAAAGTCTGCAGCAATAAAGTGCGGAAAGGAAGTCCCTCAGCTGAGGCAGCATCCACAACAAGATGTTTAGCCATTCATAGAACCGGGAGAAATAGAGATACGAAAGTTCTTGAAAGAAACGAGTCTGAAGATGGAGCAGTTGCTAGAGGACGCACCTATTGAAACTGCTTCGGTCAAGTACAAGTTTAAACTCGGTGAACCGCTAGTCACGCCTAATAAGATCATAGATGACCGGTTCCATCAATGGTACATGGATAAATCAGGGATGGGTAGAGAGATGTTCCGAGCGATGGTGCGAAACTCAGATTATTATCAAGGAGAAGATGTTCTTTGGATCCGCCCCAAAGAAGTCTTCGACTTATAGCACCGGGACGCCCTCGACGTCTCTATTCTCAGTGCGCGGACTTTGTAAGTATTGTTTATAGCTCAATTTTGTTTCCCCGCAAAGTGAACACACTAATTTACTTTTGTGTACACATGCATTTACTTTTGTGTATTTATTTTGGTAATATATGTGTATATTTACTTAGGTGCAAACTCATATTTTGTTAATGTATGCATGTGGCCTATAACTACTTAAGGGCATATATATGTATATTATATGTATTTCTACATATGTATGCACATTGCATATATATGTGTAAAAACATATAGTACACATATGTGTACTTAAGTAAATATATATAGGCCATATTTACTTAAGTGCATATACATATATGTGCACACTTGCATATATATGTATAGATACATATAGTGTACACATATATGTATATTTGTAATATATACATTTCTAGATTATGCATATATATATATATATATGTATTTAAACATATATATCCATAATATATATGCATATATATGTATAGGCAGCACACATCACAACTAAATTAAAAAAATAAAAAAATCTTTAGTCCAACCGGGACTAAAGGATGGCTAAGCCAGCCACGGGGATGAGCCGGAGCTTTACTACATCGTATTTGAACCGGTACTAAAGACCGCCATCTTTAGTCCCGGATTCTCCCTCCCGGTTCGCTACCCGGGAGTAAAGAGGGTTGCGAACCGGGAGAGATGAGCACTTCTCTTGTAGTGATATAATATATCAGAATACAACATACTAGATTTTTTCCACAAGGATATATATGTCCAACAAGTTATGCATTTAATCATCCTTTTAGTCTCCACTCTTTTTATCTAATAATTGTACTTTTGTGGTGTTTGTCTATTCAATGTTTATTTTTGAATGGAGATTGAAGATCGAGGCTTTGCGCTTTTTTTATTGAAGTGGATATTAATTAGAGTAGCAGTTATTATATTTATGTTGAAATAAAATAGCGACAATGCATGCTATTTTGTTCACAATCATTTTAATGAGAAATGGAAACAATCCACGATGCAGCCTTTGTTATATATATATATGTGGCGTTGGACAATTATTTCACCTATAACCAGCGATTTTCGATCAAATATAAATCACAAAAACATGTGCTATGCCCACATACTAGCTAGTATAGTAAATCAAAGCAGCAAAGAATCTTTTTGGGGCTAATTTTTTTCAGGTAGCATCGTAGTAGAATTCAGTCTTCAGAAAAAAGCGCAAGCGATCACCACATTGAAGTTCCATATATCATGGCGGGTGAATCTTCCATGGAAGAAGCTAGCGTACAAACCATTCGCAGCTTCTCCACTTTGTTGATGCTTGTACTAGCTAGAGGCTCACGCTTCTGTCTGATATGCATATAGCATAGGATATGACAGGAAGATGAACTGAAAAAGGGCCGCGAGGCTTAATTTCTACAGTTTTTTGGGTAGTCAAACTTGTCAATCTGTTCTTCGAAGCAAGAGCTAGGTTTCTGGTACCTCCAATTCCTACATGTTATATATATGGCTGTTGCAATCGCCTGACTTGCGCAGATAGTGCAAATGCTTGATCGACTGCCTGAATACTATCCCCTGCTCTTTGTTTCACATAGCTAGCCACCTTGTTTTTCTGCCTCTTCTACCCTCTTTTTGGCAGCCTTTTATGGCCCATCACTACATAACGTGCATGTATAGGCGGGTCTACAGGGTGGTCCTTATGATCCCGGTGCCACCAAAAAAAATCTTAGCCCAATTAATGCATATTTATACATCTATGAAAAAAACTTTTGAACAAAGCAAAAACTCGTTTCTAATATGTTTCTAATATGGTTTTTGGGTTAGGGGGGTTATTTAGTCGACCACGATGATTCAGGGTAACTCGTACTTTTTCCTTTAAAAGGCTTTTAGCTTTGTTATAATTAGGGTCTTTTTAAAAAAATATATATAAGTTGGACCACCTATATAAAAATCATAGATATACCGCTGCGTGCATGATGTCTTTCTTTTTTTTTTCAGGGATGCGTGCATGATGTCTTAGTCACAAAATAAAAAATGTGGCTATGGTATTTAAGACGGATGGTGCTTGATTGAAGGGTGCTTTCTTTTACAATGCTCTACCATTATATTAGATCACAAAGGGCCCCCGCAAAAAAAAAAGATCACAAAGGGAAATTGAAGAAAGTTGAGTGTTCAAAGTAAATTTGTAAAGAAACTGCATTATCAAAAACATGTCATATATAGACGTCTTGTTATTTTGCCAGAGGTGTCATCTCGCCTGCACGCTATATATAACTGGCAATTACAAAAGTTGAAACCTGGCATATGGCCGGTCATATGTGTGCTCTGATCTAAAGCCTGAATTTATCTAATTGCTATTTGCCCAGACTGGGAAAGCAGCCCTCGTTGTATCGTTGCTTCCCAGCCCTGGTTCTGAGAAGAACGGTAATCATAGCACTTGAGGAGCAAAATTTGCCATCGTTTTAAGCTTAGCAGGCTATATTCAATTCCATGCCTTTCTGATCCATTTTATCAGCTGCTAGCTCTGAGCCTCGTCGTCCTTATGTTGTTGACTCTCTTCTACGTTGGTTCATGTTATACTATTTGTGTATATAAACTACAGAACACGAACAACGGGACAGTATAGCGGCTGATCGAGAAGAAAATGCAGCCGTTCCAAATCAAGTTCCACACATTCCGACCTCCTCCTGCTTTGATGGTAACTTCATGAGCTGGTGGGACACTTGCTGAAGGAAGATATGGTGAAGGATCAAAGGAATATTTTCGATGGAATAATCATTTGCACGGCTTGGGTCATTTGGCTGCAATGAAATGACAGAATTTTCAACTGAACCTACAGCACGGTGGAACATGTTGTGAATTCGATCTTGGAAATGTGTAAACAAATGGCGGCAGCTCAGCTAGTCCCCTAAATTAGATGGCCCTTAGTCGTTTGTTGCTGCTTGTGGCCGCTGGCTACCTAAAAATCGGTTCCTGTATTGTGGGGGAAAACCTTGGTTCCTCTGTTTGTAAAAGGATTTTCCGTTTGTTTTACTTGCTTTCCTCTATAAATGAATGGTAGAGCTCATGTCTTTTCCCTAAAGAGCATCTCTAGCAGTAGCCCCTACTTTCGAGTCCCTAAAAGTTAAATAGGGGCTGCCCTCAATGTTCTAGGACCCTAAATATGTCTTTATGTCTAGCAGTAGCCTCCATATCTTAGCCCCTATTTTTTTTCTCTTTTATTTTAGTATAGAATTTATATTTATATCTAGTTTAACACATAGTAATTTAAACATAAATAATTCTAGCGCATGGAATTCAACCATATTCAAATTTGCAATTTCAAACACCACGATTCAAAATTGAATTCAAAATTTTCAAACATGAAAATGATATATCCTAGAAGCAAATATTGAACATAACCCACACATGATAGAAAATGCAATGAAACAAACTACCGAGCACCATGAAGCGCCCACAAATGTTCCATAAGATCATCTCGAAGTTGCTCATGTACCCGTCGGTCTTCAATTTCTTTATGTATCTTTAGAAATTTCTCTAACACAGGTTTATTACGTCGTTGGTATTCCTCCTTCCTCAACACCTCACTGTCCTCCTGATCATAGTCAAAATCTACATTTTCATCTCGCTCATTGTCAATGATCATGTTGTGCATGATTACACAAGCTGTCATTATGTACCATAGGGTCTCTGTATCCCAAAATCTAGCAGGACCCCTCACCATTGCAAAGCGGGCTTGTAGAACACCAAATGCTCTTTCAACATCCTTTCTCACTCCTTCTTGAACTTTTGCATAATGTATTCTCTTGTTACCTTGTGAATTAGAAATGGTCTTCACAAAAGTGGCCCAAGAAAGGTATATGCCATCAGCAAGATAGTAACCCATGGTGTATTTATTTCCATTCACCATAAACTCCAACTCTGGAGCTGTCCCTGATGTAAGCCTTTGAAAGAGTGGCGATCTCTGTAGTACATTGATATCATTAAGAGAACCTGGTAGTCCAAAGAAGGAATGCCAAATCCACAAATCTTTAGATGCAACAGCTTCAAGAATCATGGTTGGCCCATCCACATGCCCTGAATATTGTCCTTTCCAGCCTGTTGGGCAATTCTTCCACCTCCAATGCATACAGTCAATACAACCTAGCATCCCTGGGAACCCCCTTGGAGTGTTTATAGCCATCAACCTTGCAGTGTCCTCAGCAGTTGGTGCCCTCAAGTATTGATCAGCAAACACATCCACCACAGCCTTGACAAAGTGCTTGAAAGCTTCTATCATGGTGCTCTCTGAAATCCTCACGACTTCATCAAGACTATCGGCTGGAATATCATATGCAAGCATGCGAATTGCACCATACACCTTCTGCAATGCAGTGGCACCGAGAAGACCCACTGCATTTGGTCTCTGCCTGAAGTAGTCATCATGAGCCTCCACACTAGCCACGATGCGCAAGAAGAGCTCCCTTGACATTCTGAACCTCCTCCTAAATAATTTTGCACTATATATAGGAGGATCTGCAAAATAATCAGCCACTATGCGTAAATTGCCAGCAAACCTGTCCCTATGAATTATCTCACGACCTGGGACTGAACCATGATGCTTTCTTTTGGTCCTCTTATGCTCTATGTCTGTAAGAAGAGCAGCTGCAATGTAGTAGTCATCATCGTCAGACAACTCCTCCTGATCCCACCAATCGGTAATGAGATCATCGTCGTCGTCATCGTCGTCGTAGAAGTCCATATAAAAAACACTGCCATCACAAAATCATAAAATTAATAAGAAAATTTAGAGCATATGCACACATCCAACTACACATACACGGTACAGAGTATACCCCATATACAGTATGCAACATTCAATCTATGAAAAGCAGTGGAATCGTACTAGTACAGTACCACTTACTCCTGTATATATATATATGGTTCTAATCGATCCATTGCAACAATTGTACAGTGCTACTAAGTATAAATACAGTGATATATTCACCGTGTTTAGATCCAGTTTTTCTTCAAACTTCCAACTTTTCTATCACATCAAAACTTTCTTACACATATAAACTTCTAATTTTTTCATCACATCGTTTCAATTTCAACTAAACTTCTAATTTTAGTGTGAACTAAACACAACCATTACTAGCTGAGAATTTAGATTTTTCTTGCCGACAAAGTCCACTACAATTCTCCAAAAAAATATTAAAAACAAGTCAGTCTCCACCAGAACCATCTACCACCACATGTCCACAGGTGTCAAGAACAGAGTTATTCAGAAAATTGATTAGTACTCTACCACTGAACCCCCGCACCACATGACCTACTTAGAGTTTCTCCAGAAAAATCAATGGGGGCAGGAGGCCAGCGTGGGGGCAGGCGGCGTGCAGGTGGGCGACGTGTGTGCGGGCAGCCTCGGAGGGCACGCGACGGCCGGCGTGTGGCCAGGCAGATGGCGGGAGATCGGCGGCCGGGCATGTGCATGGACTGCCGCCGAAGGCCTCGAGAACGGCGGGCAAGAAAGGTATGGAAAAGTCTTACCTTTCTAGGGCAGTCTTGATGGAGGTGCTGGGAATTCGTCGGTGCTCGCCGGAGAAGATCCGTCGTCGCAGCCGTGCGGGAATAACAAGAAAATGCACGAAGCAAAATTATATCCGCGCCAAAAAAAAATGACGATGGGGGCGTGCTCCGGAGTCCCCAGGACTGGGGCCTTGGGGGAGGATTTGAGGGCCTCCTCACTTTGGGGGCTGTAGTAGGGCCCCTGCTGGATCTAGTTTTTTTATCTTAACTCTCAAAAATTGAATAGGGGCTGGATTTGAAGTCCCTGCTGGAGATGCTCTAAAAAAAAGAAAATGGGCCGTTATATGGTGTAACAGTTCGTCAAATTCATTATTCATTTGGTTCATTTGCAGCTCTGATTTTTTTTCCCCATTTGCTTGTGTGCATTATCACCGGGAACTATCTTAAACATATTTCACGAGGGTGTATATATCTATATATATATATTATCTTGAAACGATGTGGTATACATATTTTATTGAAAAAATAGCAGTGTAGTTGACCTCAGCCAAGAAACAACATGATGAGAATTTATTTTCACATAGTATAGCTGCACTCTGGGGAATACAATAGGGCAGAACAATTCGTCCATTATAATGAAGAGTTGCCGAGCCAGAATGGGCCTCTCGGCATCCCTGTCAGGGTGTGTCCTATCCATAGTCGAAAAAACCGAACCGGATCATCGATCAAACCTAAAAGATTGGAAGTTGTATAACCATTGGGTCAGTTGTGAAAACATAAAAACAAATACTCCCCCTGTTCATAGTTGATCATTATATTAGTATTCATTCTCTTCGTCTGTTGGTTATTTCCTAATTTTAGATGCTTCCCATACTCCAATACGAGGATGAAGCCTAAATATGATTGGGAGTATGTCCCAGTGTGTACTCATTCCTGTGGTTTTTATTTCAACATTCGTGCTTTTTTTAATTGGAGCCAAAAATTGCATCCAAATGTGATTATTCTACGGTGTCTCGGTAACGATTCTGATTATTTGGCTCGAAGCGTCAGCTCCGTTCATCGAGACATGCTCAGCGTCCTCGTCTTTTTCTTATGCTTACGCTTATCAGTCAAAATTTAAATTTTCAACTTTAAATTTAAAGTTGATTTTAGAGTTTTGTCATCGTAGTTTATTTTTCAGTCTTTGTTTTTAGATCGTTTAGAACACATACATAAAAGTTTTATTCACAAATTATTTTTTATTTGCAAATATGCCGTTTGACCTATTCCACCAAACAACCAAACAATGGGGCTGTCGAACTCTTCTTATTATTCTTTTTTTTCTTTTCACTCGTGCTCTCCCATCAATGCCGGTTTGAGAGTTGACACAGATGAGTCTCCCAGAAGAGTAGTGATGCAACAAATCTAGCACCGATTAGAGCAGTGGAACCAGCTATGGATGAGCCTTCTGTGATGGTGATCAAAGAGATAACCGGGCAGAGCAGGCGTGAGAACTTCCCTTGCCACTTGCTCTGCCTAAAGGTCTAATGTCTGCACGAACACCACGCCACAATGTTGGAAGGGCGCGGTGGGCGTGCAGTACGTGAGTGGGGAAGCCACAAGCTATTTGGCAGGAAGAGGGGGTCGCACACGTTGCGCTGCCTTCGGCCACCACATTAGTCCAGAAATGCAACGCCCAGCAGCGAAGGGTCCGATGAAGGGATGTTGAATAATTCCCAATGCCTTCCATGCATATATAGGATCCTAGCTAGGAGCGACAGAGACTCGATCTGATGAGAGTCGTCGGACCGTCAATTTTAATTTGCCTCCAAAACTGAGCTACATATACGTGCACATCTGCTGGCCCTTTTAAGTTAACTCAGCTATCTAAGTGGCCCGCGGCAGTCGAGTGCTATGTATATAGATGGCACATCCTCTCAGAGTCTTTTTAAGTAGCTCAGCTTGAAATTTATGGATGGATGGTTTTTCACACCATCTCCATATATATCCTTCACCCCAACCTGCAGGACAATGGTCATTATCACAATTACAAAACACCTTATAGGTGCTGGTTCTAGATGAAAAGCACATTGGTGCTGGTTCGCATATAGAATCAACACCATGATCCTCACCACAATGGCTCTCCGCCCACCATAGGTACTAGTATATTATTAAAAATTAGCACCTTTTGGTCACATTGAATGCGCTCTTAATATATGGCTTGTCTTCTGGAAACCTAAAGACATGTACTTATGTCTCTTAGGCGAATGATTTATAAGTACCTCAGCTTGAAAGTACATCATTTATAAACGGATGGTTATTCTCAGCATCTCCATACCTTTGCCCCACCCTGCAGGACAATATTAGTACCACAATTACAAAACACCTTATAGGTGTTGGTGCTAAATAAAAATCACACAGTTACTGGTTCGCATATAGAACCAACACCTACGATTCTGACCACAATGGCTCTCCTCCCATCATAGGTACCGGTATGTTATTAAAAAATAGCACCTCTTGGTCACATTGAATGCGTTCATAATATATGGCCCATCTTTTAGAAGACTAATGGACTTGTACTTCTATCTCTTGGTGCTGCACAGTACTAAATTGCTTGTTATATTACAGTAACCAGAACAACCATGGCATAACTGAGCTTTCGATGCCTCTTAGACCTAACATACATGCTGCATGGTCAGGGGTGGATCTACAGTGTAATGCATGCTTTCGACACCAACGACTTTTGTCAAAATCTATAGCGAAACTGTTTATCCATATATTATACCATCACGATCTAAGTATAATTAGCATACTATGACACCAACAGACACGTTATGACACCAACGAATCGATTTTTTTTTGGATCCGCCACTATGCATGGTTGCCACTTGCCCATACTATTTCAACAAGGATATTACCTTAGCTCTGTTCAGCAAGCTATTCCATTCTACATGCTTTGATGATCTATTTTAAGCTGTTACCCTTGAGCTACTCCCATTGTCCTTTAATTTGTTCGTGACTCAGTTCGTCTTGCTCTTTATAAATAGAGAGCACAAATATTGGAAGTGTCCATCTGGTTAGAATAAATGGAGCCTTTTGAGGTGGAATGGTTTGTCAAATTTATTTGGTATATTGCCTCTCAGTTTTTCTTCTTCCTTTTAGTCACGTGCATCGCCACCGGAAACTATCTAAAACCAAGTTTTCACGAGTTCCTATGTGAACTATATTGCAACAAGAATTAAATTTGAAAATATATTGTTCATTCAATTTTTTTAAGAAATATTCGGGATGTAAAATCTTTTGCACAAATATAAAAGTCAAATTAGTACACGCAAATTTATTTGTTAATTAAACTCTAACTACTACACACATATTCACAGTCAAATTTGTTATTTTTGTTACAACTTGTAGAAGTCGAATTTGAACTTGCATGTTTGTGAGATGATATATTACATATTAACCTATCTTATAAATTTTTTTGTAACTTTTTCATAATCATTTAGGTGGCATACAAGAAACGGGTGGACGTCCACCCGAGAGATTAGAATTCATCCCCCTCATAAACACGCAAGACTGCATGGAGCAAGTCTGTAAGCTCGGGGGTTCCCGAAAGGGAAAACCGTATGTAAATTTGCTCGTGTTATATGAAGTAATTTCTTTTGTGCATCCCAGTTTATTTGTCTGGCTGAGAGTTTATGCAAGGGACCCTGTAGGAGATAGCTCTTCGGTACTTCTCATCGTTAGCCTTCATCTTGCTTAGGCATTAGGAGAACGTGTAGCCGTAGAGAAGTGTTCTCTTCGGGTGAAACTGTCTGGGGAGACGATAAGCTCTTAGCTAGAACGAATATTCTAGGGATATGAGAAGAAGTTTATTTTACAACGCGAATAAGTTATACAAGGATGAGCGAGGGCTGAATGGCTTTCTCAAGTTATTACCAGTTTTCCGTTGTACGATCGTTTCTACATCACTGCTAAACCCAGATTTCCGATACCTCCTCTGTTCCTATATGTTTACATGGATATATGGGATATATGGATGAGTTCGTTGATACATTGAAGAGGGACAAACTTTGTTCTTTGCTTGCTCTCTACAGTTTACATGTACAGCCACACAACTTAGTTCTCTACCTCGTGCTATCCCTTCTGTCTCTCTAGTTACCGTTACATGGCTATAGCCTATATGGCCTAGCACTATGTACGGAGTATATGTTTATGTGCAATTACACAAAACAGATATAAAATAACTTAACTGCAATGTTTATGCAGATAGAACCATCAAAGAAATCTATCTATTAATATATTATTAAAACAGCTTTAAAAGGAGGAACCACATTCACTGTGGGAGCTAGAAATTCCCACATTAATTGGAGCAAAAGGAAAGAAGAGTCAAGTAGAAATACAATTTAAAAATAATTGAAATTCAGAATTAAAAATATGCACTATTGAAAGAAGATTCCATGTACGAGACCAATATGACATTAATTAATATTCGGAATAAAAAAATAAAATAAAATATGAAATTAGAAAAAATTAAAAAGATAGTTCAAGTAGGAATACCATTTCGAAACAGCTGAAATTGAAAATAAAATATAAAAATACTAAAAAAACATAATACAGTATTAATTAAAATTCAAAATAAAAATAAAATAAATTCTAAAATTAAAAAAATATTCAACTAGGAATATAATTTATAAATAACTAAAATTGGTGATAAAACATAAAGACTATTGAAAGAAAAGACCATCTAAAATTCATGACGAGAGTAATTAAGTAACATACTTATAAAGAATTAAAGTGTTGGAGGTTGGTGGGACATCTAAAAAATATTAATAAAACACCAAATAGAATCCTAATGACGATTAAAAAGAGGGACGACAGGCAGGCCGTCAAGTAACCAGTCAACGCTGTCGGCGGAACTTCTAGAAAGTAATAAAAAACCCCAATGATAATCATATTCAATTTTTAAAATCCCAATGACTAAAAAGAAGAGACAGCGGGTGGGTCATACAGGAGTACAGTGACACAGCCGTCGACAGTTGGCGGGACTTCTAGAAAGTAAAAAATAAATTCCAACTATAGTTATGTTTGATTTTTGGAATCCCAATGAAAATAAAAAGTTGGCGGCGGACACTGCGTAGAGGAGTATAGTGGCATCGTTTGACGAGACTTCTAAAATTATAAAAACTGAAACCCAACAAGACAATAACCTCTAAAAACTATAAGGTCCAATTTTTAAAGGTTCAGAACTTCTAAAAGTAAAAAAAATAAACCACAATGATAATAATATTCGATTTCAAAATCTTAATGACAATAAGAAGGAAGGCAGCGGGTGAACCGTAGAGGAGTACAGTGGCAAAGCCACTGACAGTTTGGGGGGACTTATAAAAAGTAAAAAATGAACCCAAACAATAATTATATTCGACTTTTAAAATCGCAATGACAAAAAGAGAAAAGACAGTGGACGGACCATGGAGGAGTATAATGGCAGCGCTTAATGGGACTTCTAGAAATTATAAAAACAAAACCGAATGAGACAATAAACTCTAAAAACTATACTATCCAATTTATAAAGATTCCAAGGAGAATTAATAAAATCAATGGTAGATCAAGCAAACAAATAAAAAAAGAGATGACAAAAGTAAGTGGTAGCAACTGGTGTGATTTTTATAAAACTATAAAATTAGAAACACAGGGATGATAAGGTTTGGTCTTTCAAAGTCTTAAAAAAACAAGATAGCTATTTAATAAATTTTCAAGTAAAATCATACCGGACAATTGCACCGGCCACCCAGATAGTAACATTTGGTTAGAAGGATCTACTGAATACTACTACTAGCCGCACTAAAGCACATCAAAATAGCACTCTCGAGTATATTGGTTTAATATGTTTGGACAACAGAGTAATACTACTACTACTCCAGTTGCTAAAACAAGCAGAGCCCATGAAGTGGCCCGTGCCACATTTTAATGCGCGAAGCGAGGATGCATCAAAGTGCTTCCACAGCTGGTCTCTGGTATGTCCCAAACACCTCTCATGCCTAAGGGGCGCAACTCTGCAATAGTAGA